GTATCAGGTGATGGTGGCCTCATAGAATGAGTTTGAGGGTGTTCCTTCCTCTGCAATTTTTTGTAAGAGTTTGAGAAGGATGGCTGTTAGCTCTTCTCTAAATGTTTGGTAGAATTCACCTGTGAAGCCATCTGGTCCTGGACTTTTGTTTGTTGGAAGATTTTTAATCACAGTTTCAATTTCATTATTTGTGATTAGTCTATTCATATTTTCAACTTCTTCCTGGTTCAGTCTTGGAAGGTTATACCTTTCTAAGAATTTGTTCATTTCTTCCAGGTTTTCCATTTTATTGGCATAGAGTTGCTTGTAGTAGTCTCTTAGGATGCTTTGTATTTCTACAGTGTCTGTTGTAACTTCTCCTTTTTCATTTCTAATTTTATTGATTTGAGTCCTCTACCTGTTTTTCTTGATGAGTCTGGCTAATGGTTTATCAATTTTGTTTATCTTCTCAAAGAACCAGCTTTTAGTTTTATTGATCTTTGCTATTGTTTTCTTTGTTTCTATATCATTTATTTCTGCTCTCATCTTTATGATTTATTTCCTTCTGCTAACTTTGGGTTTTGTTTGTTCTTCTTTCTCTAGTTCCTTTACATGTAAGGTTAGATTGTTTATTTGAGATTTTTCTTGTTTCTTGAGGTAGGCTTGTATAGCTAAAAACTTCCCTCTTTGAACTGCTTTTGCTGCATCCCATAGGTTTTGGATCGTCGTGTTTTCATTTTCATTTGTCTCTAGGTATTTTTTGATGTCCTCTTTGATTTCTTCAGTGGTCTTTTGGTTATTCAGTAACGTATTGTTTAGCTTCCATGTGTTTGTGTTTTTTACGTTTTTTTCCCTGTACTTGATTTCTAATCACATAGTGTTGTGGTCAGAAAAGATGCTTGATATGATTTCTATTTCCTTAAATTTACTGAGGCTTGATTTGTGACCCAGGTTGTGATCTATCCTGGTGAATGTTCCTTGCGCACTTGAGAAGAAAGTATAATGGAATGTTCTATAAATATCAATTAAATCTATCTGGTCTATTGTGTCATTTAAAGCTTCTGTTTCCTTATTTATTTTCATTTTGAATGATCTGTCCATTGGTGTAAGTGAGGTGTTAAAATCCCCCACTGTTATTGTGTTACTGTCGATTTCCTCTTTTATAGCTGTTAGCAGTTGCCTTATGTATTGAGATGCTCCTATGTTGTGTGCATATATATTTATAATTGTTATATCTTCTTTTTGGATTGATCCCTTCCCCATAATGTAGTGTCCTTACTTGTCTCTTGTAACATTCTTTATTTTAAAGTGTATTTTATCTGATATGAGTATTGCCACTCCAGCTGTCTTTTGATTTCTGTTTGCATGGAATATCTTTTTCCATCCCCTTACTTTCAGTCTGTACGTGTCCCTAGGTCTGAAGTGGGTCTCTTTTAGACAGCGTATATATGGGTCTTGTTTTTGTATCCATTCAGCAAGCCTGTGTATTTTGGTTGGAGCATTTAATCCATTCACGTTTAAGGTTATTATCGATATGTATGTTCCTATTACCATTTTCTTAATCATTTTGGGTTTGTTTTTGTAGGTCCTTTTCTTCTCTTGTGTTTCACACTTAGAGAAGTTCCTTTAGCATTTGTTGTAGAGCTGGTTTGGTGGTGCTGAATTCTCTTGGCTTTTGCTTGTCTGTAAAGCTTTTGATTTCTCCATTCAATCTGAATGAGATCCTTGCTCGGTAGAGTAATCTTGGTTGTAGGTTTTCCCTTTCATCACTTTAAGTATGTCATGCCACTCCCTTGTGGCTTGTACAGTTTCTGCTGAGAAATCAGCTGTTAACCTTATGGGAGTTCCCTTGTATGTTATTTGTCATTATTCCCTTGCTGCTTTCATAATTTTTACTTTGTCCTTAATTTTTGCCAATTTGATTACTATGTGTCTCAGCGTGTTTCTCTTTGGGTTTATCCTGTATGGGACTCTCTGCACTTCCTGGACTTGGGTGGCTATTTCCTTTCCCATGTTAGGGAAGTTTTGGACTATAATCTCTTCACATATTTTCTCAGGTCATTTCTGTCTCTATTCTCCTTCTGGGACCCCTATAATGCAAATGTAGTTGCGTTTATTGTTGTCCCAGAGGTCTCTTATGCTGTCTTCATTTCTTTTCATTCTTTTTTCTTTATTCTGTTCTGCAGCAGTGAATTCCACCATTCTGTCTTCCAGGTCACTTATCCGTTCTTCTGCCTCAGTTATTCTGCTATTGATTCCTTCTCATGTAGTCTTCATTTCATTTATTATATTGTTCATCTCTGTTTGTTCTTTAATTTTTCTAGGTCTTTGTTATACATTTCTTGCATCTTTTCGATCTCTGCCGGCATTCTTTTTCCAAGGTCCTGGATCATCTTCACTATCATTATTCTGAATTCTTTTTCTGGAAGTTTGCCTATCACCACTTCATTTAGTTGTTTTTCTGGGGTTTTATCTTGTTCCTTCATCTGGTACATAGCCTTCTGCCTTTTCATCTTGTCTGTCTTTCTATGAATGTGTTTTTTGTTTCACAGGCTACAGGATTGTAGTTCTTGCTTCTGCTGTCTGCCCTCTGGTGGATGAGGCTATCTAAGAGGCTTGTGCAAGTTTCCTGATGGAAGGGACTGGTGGTGGGTAGAGCTGATTGTTGCTCTGGTGGGCAGAGCCCAGTAAAACTTTAATCCGCTTGACTGCTGATGGGTAGGCTGGGTTCCCTCCCTGTTGGTTGTTTGTCCTAAGGCGATCCAACACTGGAGCCTACGCAGGCTCTTTGTGGGACTAATGGCAGACTCTGGGAGAGGTCACACTAAGGAGTACTTCCCAGAACTTCTGCTGCCAGTGTCCTTGTCCTCATGGTGAGACAGAGCCACCCCCCGCCTTTGCAGGAGACCCTCCAACACTAGCAGGTCAGTCTGGTTCAGTGTCCCCTGGGGTCACTGCTCCTTCCCCTGGGTCCCGATGCACACACTACTTTGTGTGTGCCCTCCAAGAGTGGAGTCTGTTTCCCCCAGTCCTGTCAAAGTCCTTCAGTCAAATCCTGCTAGCCTTCAAATTCTGATTCTCTAGGAATTCTTCCTCCTGTTGCCCAACCCCCAGTTTCAGAAGGCTGACATGGGGCTCAAAACCTTCACTCCAGTGGGTGGACTTCTGTGGAATGTGTTCTCCACTTTGTGGGTCACCCACCCAGCAGTTGTGAGATTTGATTTTATTGTGATTGCGCCCCTCCTACCATCTCATTGTGGCTTCTCCTTTGTCTTTGGATGTGGGGTATCTTTTTTGGTGAGTTCCAGTGTCTTCCTGTCGATGACTGTTCAGCAGTTAGTTTTTATTCCAGTGTTCTTGCAAGAGGGAGTGAGAGCACGTCCTTCCTCTCCACCATCTTGAACCAATCTCAACCTTTTCTGTTTCTTGAGATAGATGCCAGGATCATTGGTTTTCAACCTTTCTTCTGTTCTAATATATCCATCTAAGGCTGTAAAATCTCCTGTAAGCCGAGTTTCCATATGTTCTATTTGTATTATCATTATGGTCAAACTATTTTCAGTGTGATTTTCTTTTCAATCTATGTGAATTTTAGAAGTATATTATTTAATTTCTGAACAGAGAAGCATGTTCTATTTTTTTCTCTTTTTGTAATTGTTATGAATTAAAGAGTCTAAAGGCAGCCCATGATAGGCATCAGAGAGTACTACTTCAAAAGTGGGGGAAAAAAAAGTGTGATTCATAGCCATAGATTGTAAAACCTGGAAGCACCTGAGTGAGAGGGGCCAAGCTGATGGCCTTTATGCACTGACCCTCACACAACCACCGTCACAAAACAGCCAGCAGAAACAGCGTCTCTTTTTTTTTTTTTTTTTTTTTTTTGCGGTATGTGGGCCTCTCATGGTTGTGGCCTCTCCCGTTGCGGAGCACAGGCTCCGGACACGCAGGCTCAGCGGCCATGGCTCATGGGCCCAGCCGCTCTGCGGCATGTGGGATCTTCCCGGACCGGGGCACGAACTCGTGTCCCCTGCATCGGCAGGCGGACTCTCAACCACTGCACCACCAGGGAAGCCCGGGTCTCTTTATTTTTTTGAAGAGGGATCCATGTTAAATAATTATCACATTATTATTGAATGATAGATAGATAGATACTATGTTAAATAGGAAGGGTATACAATACAGTTTGACCCCAGCAGGCTTGCAAGGCCTGGGAGGGCTAGAGGGAGATTAGGCTCTGTTTACCAACACCACCACCAGCACCAGCCTATTCAGCCCATATCCACCCCCCACCCAGGAAAACAGTGAAAGTAGCCCTGACAGTAACTTCAGTCCCTCACTCCATATGAGCTGCACAGGCCTAAGCAGCAGGCACTTCATCAAATAATATCATATGCAAAGAAGGGATGTAATTAAAAACAACAAATGTTTCAGGCATGCTAGCACTGTAAAAGATAGACAGTAAGTGAATAAATCTTGAAGAAAAAGTTAATAGAGCAACAGAGGAGACCTTTAAGAATAATTAATATCAGGAAAGCAGAGGAGAATATTGCATCTACAGAAAAGAAATAGGCAGTTATGAAAAATAATTAAACAATATTAGTGTTTAAATAGTTGAAATTAAACTACACTGACAAAGTCTCTTTAAAGTTCAATTTTTTTTTTCTTTTTTTTTTTTTGCGGTACATGGGCCTCTCACTGCTATGGCCCCTCCCGTTGTGGAGCACAGGCTCTGGACGCGCAGGCTCAGCGACCATGGCTCATGGGCCCAGCCACTCTGCGGCATGTGGGATCTTCCCGGACCGGGGCACGAACGCGTGTCCCCTGCATCGGCAGGCGGACTCTCAACCACTGTGCCACCAGGGAAGCCCCAAAGTTCAATTTTTTAAGCAAAGAAATTAACTACTTGATTTAAGGAAATGAAGAAAAAATATTCTTTGAGAAGATTTTTTAATAGAAATAGACTCACAAATTGAATTGAACAATAAAGCCTTGTTAAATGAATAACTTTCTTTTTACTTAAGGTGCTGCATTTTGGGATGTTACCCCTCAGAGAATTACTTTCTTGAAAAGGAAGGCATTTTTCTCCTTTTGGATTTAATGGCAGTAAGTATGATTATAACAATTGTGAAACAAAAAATAAATGTCTTTATTAACTTTCCAAACTGAGTATCACAGAACACTACTCTGTGATTAAATGTGCCCTCAAATAGTGTTCAAATATTTGTTTTAAACAAAAATCCCTCCTGGAGTTTCATAGTATGCATTGGCATAGTAGAGTCTGAAAATTCCTCCAGTGAAGAAACCAGTTTACTTAGGTCAGTGTTCCCAAACACATGACAGCCGAGAATTTGTTCTGTCTTGTTTTGTTTTTCCCCATGAAACTTTAAAGTAACAGCTAGATTATTTAAAAATCAATAATCATTTATTAATAACTTCTAGCTTCTTCTCTTAGTATTAAAAGGGTCACCTTAGACAAAGGAGTAAAGACCAGCATTTTTAAAAAACTGTGTATTGTTTGTAGGTAATGTGAAGAATCTAGTGTGTCATATACTGTTTTACAGAATGAGCAGAAGTGAGCATATTAAGCCTTCCAGGAAGGCAGCTGAGAAGAATGGCAAAGATCCTTACAGTAATCCCCTACTAGCCTCAATTCTAAGTGGGTCCATAGTTAAGATGATATGAAAGAGAAAGTATACTTTTGTTTCAGTAAAACTTTGGGAGATATTCTCATGCAGAGTTCTAGCTATGTCACTGCCTATGATTGCCACCATTCTTGATTTTATTAACAGAATAACAAACGTACTTTGACTTAGCAAAGATACTAAAGTTATCTGTGTCCTTTTAACTCTGAAAGAAAATTAGTTTACACTAGAGATGAGAGTGAACTCATTAGATATAAAACACTACAAACAAAAAACAAGTAAATAATAATGATAATAATAAAAATAACCCACCTTGAATGAGTCATAACCAGAAACCCTTTGAAAGTTCAGAAAATTGAACATAATACAGAAGGACCTATGTAGTCCTAAATGACATACAGCTCACCGTGTTTCTCTGACTAGCGTACAAGTATGCCTAGAGGCACATGGTCAGTGTCAGGGATTCTGAAAGCTACAACATTAATTTGGCATATCGTTCTGGAATCTAGCTTATACTTAAGATTTGGAAGCAAGGAATGATATTATGCATGTACATATTAAACAATTATATTTTATTTTAATATTATATAGAAGACATAAAAGACATTTCTTACTTGTGCCCACTCTCCTTCACCATCAGAGTTTCTTGGATGGAAAGGCATGAAGGCTGGTAGGAGAGGCCATATAACACAGTGGTTGTGAGCACAGGTTGGAATCAGTCTGACTGAAGCCTCTAATAGTTGTTAGCTGTGTAACTTTGAAAAATTATTTAACATCTCTGCTACCAATTTCTTCATCTATAAAACAGAGATAACAGTTATCTACCTTATGCATTGGTGGAAGGATTATGTGAGTGATTATGTGTGTGTGTGTACACATATACATGCATTAGTTAGAATAGTTCCTGACATATTTTTGTTGTGTTTTCTATAGTTATGAATGTAATTATTAGATTGCACTTACCATGGATTAAACCAACCAAGTTAACTACAAATTACAAATCTTCTTTACTGAAGTTCCTGTATAAACTTCAACCCTTGACATTTGCCTCTTTCTCCTGAATGTGAAGTATCGGAGTAAAAAACTCATTTGATTGAGGATTCTGCTTAATACAATCTGCTAAAATATTTATTCAGTGTGAAATGGTAATTGCTAGTAAAGGTTAAATATCATTGAGCGTTTACTATGTGACAGGCAGTCTCATATAACTCATCATAATAACTCTCTAAAGCAGGTAATATTATTATCCTTAATTTAATGAAAGAGGAAACTGATAATGTTTGCAATTCAGACAACAGGTTACATGTTTCCTTTGCTATATTCTATTAGCAGTATACTGTAGGAGTTAATCAACCAAAAATATTTCACACAGAAACCATTACTGTGTGGAGGCCATTGCTCTGGTTGGACTTCTCTATACCTAAATTTTGGTTTGCTGAAAACTGTTTGCAGGAAAACAGAGGAAATATGCTTAATACGATAATTTTTCTTAAGTGCTTAAATACTCTTTTATGGATGCTGAGTTTCAAAATACAAAATTATACCTCATTTTGATTTATTTTCACATGTGACTGCCACTTGGAGTTACCATCAGTTGGTATCTTAGTAACAATGAGGTTACAGCTAGGATGAGACAACTTTACAAACTTTAATTAAGCAGGTAAACTGGAAAGATTCTGTAATTACAGAGTCCTATGCATAGCACCATTTACCTTGCTCCACTTAAAATGAACATTTTCACTTATTTTGACAATCTCTCTCTTTCCTACTCAGCTAAATCAATTACATTTTTGTTCATGACATATGTTTATGACTACATCAGAATTATATGGAATCTTTTTCTTTCTATTTTTTAAGAATCCCTAATGTTTGAAAATGGACTCATTACAATGGTATTTATTTTAATAGGAGATGGTCACAAATCATACTTAGAGTCTTAATTTTATAAGGCAGTCATTTAGAAGAATCCAACTGATTAATACAAAAGTTTCTCCTTTCTTTTTTAAGACAATAATTCTAAATATTAATTGCAACATTTTTCTTTTTCTGTTTCCTTGCAAAAGTTGAACCAAAAAAAATTCTGTAATCTAATACTTGGAATAATGGTTGAATTTTGTGATAATCCCAAAACTGTGGCTTATGTCAATGCTTGGCGAGGGAAGAAGGATCAAACAGCTGCTAGTCTTTTAATTAAATTGTGGAGAAAGGAAGAGAAAGAACTAGGAGTAAAACGTGATAAACATGGGAAGATCGTTGGTAAGTGTATTTATAATTGTTTGTAAAAGCAATTAGATCCGTATTTTTAAAAAGCAATCTTAGGAAAGTATGGGGCCTTACACCATACTAGGTAAATTAGTAGCAGGTTCATATTTTTATAGAATATTTTCAGGAAATGGTATTTGATTATATTTTTTAAATTGAAAATAAAAAACTTAACAATACTTCTTAAAGAACTTTCTTTGAGTTACCTGCTTTTGTAAGTATATTCAGTAATATTTCATTTACCAATAAAATTTGGGACATAAGTTGAGTGCTTGAGAACGATTTTTATTGTATTTTGTACATTTCTGTTGATTCATATTTATACAGTTTACTTTTTATATGAAAGAAGAAACTTTTAAATAAAAATAAATCCAATGGTCATAAATTTTAATTACTAGACTCTAAATTAATGAAATTAATAGTACCAGAATTTATATTTCATTTATCTATTTTATAATGCTACATTATATTTTCTAAACCTCTTACAATTCTTATTATAGTTTCATCTGTTAGTATTGTTTATTTTTAAGTGAAAATACTTTCCCCTTTAACTTCTGATGATTTCTATCTTCAACCATTTTTATTGTTTCTAACTTTTGATCTATAACATCATAAAATAGTTTTTATATTTATAGCATAATATATAGAAACCAAAAGCAAATTACATCATTGTTAAACTGACAGTGTTCAATTTCTGGATCTCAAAATTAGAAAAGTTTTTTATGTGAAAGTTTCACTTTTAAAAAAGTAATTTTGTGAAATTTTTATATTTTACATAAATAGTTAAAAATGAAAGCTTTAAGTTTTGCAACAGAATGGGGAAGAAATTATTGATTATTTATGCTTTTAAAGGAGTAACCATGTATCAGGCAGTATTGTACTCTTACAATATTTTTATATATTTTATGATGTCTAGACTAAAATCTTAAAATTAAGTATTAATTTACTACAGTTTTTATCTGTCCTTTCTATATTTTCATGATATCCAATGATTAGATACAAAGAAACCTCTATTTACTAGTTTTCAAGAAGAGCAAAAAATCACACCACTGCCTGCTAACTGCCCAACCATTGCAGTTATGGATGTTGCTGAGAATATCAGAGCAAAAATTTATGCTGTGTTGGGCAAACTAGGTAAGAAGTTACTCGTCAAATGCACAAGAGCCTCTCTTTTTTGCTGAGTGTTGTAAATTGATTTCACTTTGGAGTCCATTTTTCATATATGATGAACAAAAGTCCCTTTATACAGATAAATGCATATTCTATTGTTATCCCAATACGCAGGCTACACCCTTAAGCTCTGGGTTTGGGGCCAGGCATCAGTATTTTTTAAGCTCCCCAGGTAATTCCAGAGTGCAGCCAGGATTAAAGGCAGTTAGTTTTAGATGGTTAGGCTTAAACACTAGAATTCTGAATCACCTGAGGACTTGACCTTGCTTCTTATTAAAGAAAAAGTCCTCACTCTTCAGATTGTGAAAGCACAATATCATGGTCTGACCACAGCACAGAAAGTATTCCTCTTCTAATGACTAGATAAGGATGACCTGGCAGCTGTTTGTTATAGGAGGAAGCCAGAAGCTCACAGAAGTAACTTTTTCATAAATCAGGATGAAATCAAAAGCAATCATTTGCATTTGTTTTTATGATAAATATATGCCTTTTGGAATCACTTGCTCTGTTAAAGTAAATCTCTCTTTATAAACTTCGTTTAGATTTTGAAAATTTACCTGGCTTATCTGCTGAAGATTTTGTTACCCTCTGTATCATACATAGATACCTTGATTTTAAAGTGAGTACCTTCTTAACCTTGTTATTAAAATCTAGTATGGCAAGACATCAGTTGGGAAAGGTCTGTTTTTATTTGTGAGCAATCATCCATGAACTGTGTAGTTTTTATTTCTCATTTTACATCTGATACTATTCAAAGAACATACAATTAACTGATTGGGTATTTTCCATGGGATAAGATTTCATCCAACTATTAGTTTATAAAAGAAGATGGAAGTTACTGACATAGAAGCCTAACAGAATCTTTAAAATATAATTTCTCTTTAGAGGGCATTAAGAGCTAGGGTATTAAGAGGTAGAATTGAATGAATTATTACTTATTAAAATAAATGATTTATACTTATTAAAGTATTATTTTATCATTACATTGTATGATGATCAAATATCAGTTAAGGAGTTGCTTACTTTGCTGGTTATATACTTTTTGGTAAATAAATGCCTTTGAAATTTTAGGAAAGTCTTTCCAAGTAAACATTCTCTTCTACTAGTATTAGTACTATGTATTTGAATGCTGTAAATGAATAAACCTCTATAAGAAAGGAAAACAAGGCTGAATTTTATCCGTATTCTGGATGTATGTTTTTTCTCTAAATTTAAACGTACTCAAGCACAGTAATTTCCAGATAACCCAGAATATGAGATGGAGCTACAGCATGATGAAACCAACATGTTAAGAGTTTTAGATTCAAGTATTACCTTAGCTGGAAAGTGAGGGACAAGGCCCTATTTCTCAGGGTGGCTGGGTACTAGAGTCCCAGAAATCCCCATGTTCATTGTTCTACAAATTCAGCTTGACCTAGCCTTCAAACAGGGCTTTAAGAAGGAAAGCATCTGTACTTCAGGAGGATGAGACTAAAGCAACAACTTGTGCAGCTGTGAAAACAGTGTCTATAAAGGAGAGGGCAGTGATGATAGCAATAAACTACACTTAGGTAGTGGAACCTTACCCGTGAGTACCTATCATTGAAAAACACTAGGTAAATTACTTCTGAATACTCAAATGTAACTGTTGCCCCAAATCATTGTCAATGCATTTAACTTATTCCCAAGGAGTAAGTTAGGAGAAGCTGGTTCAGTTAAGTGTTAACTTTGGAATGATCACCCAAATAAATTTTAGGTTACGTAAAATTATATTATTTATTTTTGGTTAATTTAACTTTTTAAAACTCTTTTAAACTTTGCTATAACAGATTGGAGAAATATGGAATGAAATATATGAAGAAATAAAATTAGAAAAGTTAAGACCAGTCACTACAGACAAAAAAATTTTGGAATCTATTATAACAGCATCAGAAAATATTGGAAAGATGGTTGCTTCTCTGCAAAGTGAGATGATTGAAAGCCAAGCATGCCAAGATGTGCAAAATGAACAAAAAGTATATACAAAAGTAAGCCACAGATGCCATTGAGGCACAAGAAAATAATTTCAATGTATAAACTAGTTGAAGTTATCCATAAGTTGTATTTGCCTTACTTGTGAATGCTTCAGCACTTACAGTTACCTTGTAATTTTCTTTTATAGTTACTTTCAGTGTCTTTGTATAGTTTTTAAAGAAAACATGGAATTAATAGCTTGAAATTCAATTACTATACTCAGTGCTGCTTTATGGCATTATAATTTGATTTCTACAGGCTTACATTTTAAAAGGTAGACACCTGAGACATTTCCATTTTTTGAAAGGTCAAACAGAGTTCCAAAAATTGTGGTCTATTTAAATGTATACACTTAGCAAATTCTGACAAATGGTGTTTCTCTGTGACTGTATGTATAACCTCATTGAGAAAGTTGGCCCTCGTCCCTCACTCTGTGATAGGCCCTTACTAGCATGCCAATCATAGGCACACCGACAAGCCTCTCCTCACCTCAGTGCCAAAACATATACTGTGAGCACTCTACAAATCTGGTCTCTGACTTTAGCTAATCAGAAAAAGCCTGTCAGGAAAATATAAGCCATTTTCCCAAAGCTTTACACAGGTAAGAAACAACACATCAGAAGTTTTTGAGCAAATAGGTTAAGTGACTATTTAAGTGAACTTGTCCACAGATACAAAGATGATGTAGATTCTCCACTTCTGCTTGGTGATCTTTTATGATTAAACTTAAGTATTTAAAACACTTTAAGGTGATTTCCAAAGTGTTTTCTATTGCCTGATCTTTTTACATCTACTATTAAATGTCTACATCTTCAGTCTAGTGGAACTTAGCATCCACCTATAAATTCTTAGATAACTCCCTGCTTAAAAGTTTTGTTTGTGAAGAGTTTTTATTCCCAGGATGCTGCCGTTTAACCCATTCATTTGCTTTTAAGTGGAGTACCCCATTAGAAGTTCTTGCTCCTCATTAGTTCTATTGAATTGGCAGGATTCTGCTGTGTGGGCTAGCTGTTGCTGATTTGTTGGTTATCGTTGATTTGTTATCATGGCTCTGACCCAGTTTATTTTTTAGCAGTTGTTTAATTAAATACTCTTAGGTTCATAATTTAAACTTAATAGTCTATTATATACCAACCAAGGGCATGTGTCCTCGGATTATATATATATATTTAGTGGAGAGCCTGTTGTGAACCATAGTCTTTGTCCTTTGTCAGTAGTTACCTCCCTAGACTGCATCACGACAACAAACTCAGCACTCTCACAAAATTGCTGTCTTGCTGAAGGTGTAAATTAGAAGCACTTTTACCAATATAATCTTGCCTAAACTATTATCAGTGGCAGCAGAAAACTCTTTATTTTCTCCTGTGAATTTGCTCTTGGGTCATTTATGTAGCTTGTTCTGGGTTATAATCTGTCTTCACAAGTGATAATCACATGAAACAATCAGTCTTGCTGAGAAGGATTATTGTTATTTTCATATTTTGTATTTTTATAGCAACAGTTTTGCATTACGTTTCATGGGAAGCAGTTCAAACCTTGGCCACATAGTGCGGGAAGGAGTTTTTTTCCATTTTAAGACTTTGGTTTTTTAAGTTGTTAAACTCTAACCCTTTTGCTAGTTGACCTTAAAATTTACGTTGGCAAAAACTAGGTCTTCCTTCAAAATACAAGTATTCAAGCCCTTTGGTATCCTTTCATAGAAACTGGAACTCTTAATTATCTTTCTTATTTCAGGTACAAGCCACACACAAGCAAAGAGAATTGGCTAATAAATCATGGGAAAATTTCTTGGCTAGAACATCAAATGTTAAAACTTTAAAGGTAGGATTTTTAAAATATTACAATATCCACAACAAACAGTCAACTCTGACAGACTTTTTCAGGGATAACTATTCATTCACCTTTTTCTGTTGATCTTTCTGTGGAATACCAACACTATTGATCCTCATTTCCAGTTTAGGGCGTTAACTGAAACTCTGCATTTTTCACAGTTACAGAAGATACCACTCTGAGTTTCATTTGGCTTAGCAGTGGGAGGGAGCGAAGCAAGGATGGTGTTCCTGGTTTCCATAAAAGAGATGAGAGTTAGCCAGGAATAAGCAGGAGAAATGTGCTCCTACTTTCCATTCTGAGCCTTCTTATTTACTGATCCTTTCTGTAAGAAGCAGAGTGAAGGACACAAAAAACAACTGTCCATATTACTCTCCCCTTCAAGGATGCTTCCCCTCTGTGACCACCAAAAGAAACATTATATTAAAGCTTAAGTGGGAATTTGGGATAAACACCCCTTTGGGAAAATGTGATAACCTGCTTCAGCAATAAACTGGAAACTAATCTAAACAGTTTATAATGCTAATTGTTCACTTGAAATATGTAAGAAGCAGCATAGATTTCCAAAATCTCATTACTTTTTTCCCAACTTTTTCGTTAATACTTGGGATACACTTTTATATAATGTTACAATTCTTCCTCTAGATATGAAATTGTTAAATGTTATATTAGCACACGAAAATAGTGGAATCATTAAAATAGCAAAACCAAAATTAAGAACAAGCTTATTCAAGGTACCATGTCTCCCCTTTGTCACTAAAAGTTCTTCCCAACTTTAAAATCAGCCCCCTCCATGCAGATAATTTGTTACCTCGAATTTAGCCTGTTCTAGTGCCTCAACTATTGAGCTTGACTGTAACTGCAGCAAATTATATAGTTTGCATTATCCTGAATGCTTGAAACATTTAAGTGTACTGAATTAGTATTTAATTTATGCAAAATAATTTGAAAACGTGTATCATCTATTGTAAATTTAGTAGCTTATTCAATTATGTACAAAAAATTGAACCTGATTTCCTTAGGACCTGCTTTATCCCTTGGTCATATATTACCAGTACCTATGGAAATCTCAGTAACATTTTCAGGTGTTTTCTGCAATGTACAAAGGATATAACTTGTTAATAACTATTTTCTTAGCCTAAATGAGTAAATGCTAGTGCTAACTAATAAAGCATAAAACAGACACAATTAAATATATTTTGTATACTTCATTGTAAGTACCATAGTTAATGCTTTAATAGCAATTAATTTATTTTCTTTCTAATTTAAAAATCTTCAGAAAGCAAAAAGACTTCAAGAGAAAGGTATAGAATCCTCTAGATACAGTGAGCATCCACCAAATGCAGTATTTCACCCGACAGATATTAAAGGCCTTCACACAACAGTAAGATTTTTTTTTCTCCATAACTTTTCTTAGTAGATATTAAATTTAATCCCCAAAGAGTGTTATTTCTATGGGGTTTTGTCTCATATTTTTTCTTTTTGCTGTTCAAATATCAAATAGTTAAGGCATATTTATCTCTACCCTTGCCTAGTTCTGGTTTAGACCAGACCCAGCCCTCCAGGATTCCCAAGAAACTGCTATAAACACTAGTCAAAATATATCTCTACATCTCTTTGACAGAAAGTGTGCAGTGCCTCCTTTGCCTGGCAAATAGATCCATGCCATATTCCAGTGTTCCTGGTGTCCTATTCTGGACATAATTTGGCCCTGATTGCAAAGGCTCCAAAGCCCTTATTTTTCCATTAGTCCATGCTGTCTCCTAGTTACTATGTACATTTTGTGTCTCTTTCAAAGTTAGCTGAAGGATGAGTGGGTTTTCCTCTTAGTGAAAAATTTTGTAAATGGACTCGTAAATATTTACTTTTGCTTTTTTTAGGTGCCCTCTGGTGGTGTAGTAACAGTGGAAAGCACTCCTGCCCGATTAGTGGGAGGACCTCTGGCTGATACAGATATTGCTCTTAAAAAACTTCCTATTCGAGGAGGAGCCTTACAGAGAGTAAAAGCAGTAAAAACTGTGAATGAGCCAGAGAAGAGCGTTCCCGCATAAAATACTCTGGAGACTTTTTGAAATAAATTCTGCTTATAATTTTTTAGTTAAATATCTGTATATATGAATGTAAAGCAAATGTTTTAGAATAAATATTTTAGTAAAATACTATTAAAATAAAAGCACATATAATGTATTTTTATTGAAAATATCAACACATACTGTGAGAAGAGTTATCATCAATTTCTTTCTAAAGATTACAATTCTCTTAACTGAAAATTGTAAAACATGTTGTATCAGTTGACTCTTTCAATTGATGTGAACTACTCCAACTGGTTTAAGCCAAAAAACAAAACAAAACAAAAACAAAAAAAACCAACTTTTACAGGCTCTGGGGCTATCAAATCTAGGACTGATTAAAACTACAGGCATTGTTGGATCTAGGAACTGAAACTCTGTGAGTAGGCTCTTCTCCTTCCCTAGCAGCTCCTGAATTATATTCTCCCAGGTTGATATCCAGTAGAAAAGAGTGCATGCCTATCTCTCAACAGTCTCTGCAACTGTCTCTGCATCTTGGGACCCCTGATTGGCCATATGCCCACTCCTGAACTATTCATCATGACTTTGGCCAGATCTGAGAACTGCCTACACTCAGAGACAGAAGGAAGCCAATCCCATCCAAAGCATATGGATGGAGTAGGGAATCAGGATATTATTAATATATGTTATTATAAGTATATATAAATACTGGGCAACAAAAACATTTGCAACAAATGTGTTGGTCAAAGTAAAATAAGTTCTCTCTCCTATAAAAAGCAAATGTTATTCATAAGCTAAACAATAAAACTAAAATAAACATGTTTTAACTCTTAATATATAAATAAATTCTAATGCTACTTCTCTTCCTTAATGGGGAAGGAAAAGGGGGAGTAGGGAGAAACTCTTTTGGTGGTGGAGGTATCTTGCCAAATAGGAGGTAGATGCCTTAATGCTAGATGTAGAGCAAAGTGTCTGTGTCCCTGTATGGCATTATGCAGTTTCCACGGCCTGTATCCATTTCCGTCAACCCCCTTCTCCACTCAGGAAGCTGCAAAATTGAGTTCATGTCCAGGGCTGGGAGAGACAAGAATCTGTTTTCTCAGAAAGGAAAATATACTGGAATTTGAGTCTAGACTCTAGGCCCATAGTGTGCACACAGCAGTGTACTGGTTAAATGTATAACAACCAGCTCTGCAAGGGGAAAAAACCCTTATTGGTAGCGTTTGCCAATCCCACTATGACCAATTTCAAGCTACCAACATGGTGCTACTGAATGCAGAGTTGGGAAGACATGCATAGAATCCACTTTCATTATCAGATAAAAGACGGCTCCAACACCCCACTGGGCCCACCTTCTCTTACTTTCTCCTCCCTCTTCCCCTCACCTCTCCTCCTCCAATTCACATTCCTCCAGGAATTTTTCATTATTCTGTTTGTGAGGATAGTAGCATCTGCCATGAGAGGAGAAATTGCAATTGTTGCTATTGTTCTAATTAGAATGAGTTACCAGCGACCTCTCACCCTGGCCCAGCTGCCCATTCTCCTTGTGGCTCACAGGAGTACATAATGTGCATCAGCTTATCAGTGAGCTTTGTGCTCTCTTGAATCCCTTTCTCTATTACCACCACCCCCAAGAAGATAGTAGACAGCATAATTTGTTCCTCTTCTTCACAGGCAGCCCTAAGCACAAAGGTTCCATGTAAAGGGGAGTTACTGAGACACAAGAATGGATGTGGGTAGGAACATGCAACGATGAGATGCCCACACAAAAAGCACCAGATACACGTTCAGTTACATCTGAGATACACATAGAATCGAGATGAAGTGTCCATGGCTAAAAGCAATGAATGTTTACTCCAATTTGTAGACTATAAGTTCCTTCCTCAGATTCTAAGCTCCCTAAAGATAGAAACCACATCTCATTCATTATTGTAACCAACACCTCAGTAAATAAATTATTGAATAAGTGTGATGGTGGCCTCAGCTCCTGGCAACCTTCCCCTCAACTTCTGCAAAGGCAGCAAAGTCCTGAGCTCAAAGAGAAGGTTCAGCCAACAAAATACTATACCGGGAATGCTAAACATGGACATGTTAAAGTAGTTCAAATGTATGTGCTTCGTAACAGTGATAGACTTTCTCTAAAATGAGGCATAAATACTATTACATTAATATAACCAGTGGGTAGAAACAGAATTGATATTTCTTGGCTGAACATTATTTTTTGTATGTAGTACAACTTGGTATCTCCAGATTGATTAGGACTGACTGCAGTCAAAATAATCTGTGAGTTCTGTAGAACTTCTCCCTGTTGTAGATCTTACCCATCAGGAAGAGGAAAGGTAAAATAGGGCAGGTTATTACCTAGCAGCCATTTAACAGAGGAAGAAATGTACACAGATGGAGGGTAGTAAGGTTGCTTCATCCAGACACTTGCACTTGGTAGACAGACGATACCCAAGTTCGCATATTACAATTCCAGCCACCTGGCAGCGAGCCAGTGAAATCAGTCCCTCTGTCTGACAGGGTCACTAATTCTAACACGTCTCCATCTCTCCTCACATCCTGTGCTCCCACCATACCACTTCTAAGCCCTAGGGGATTTGTGCCTCTCCCATCCAGCCTGGCTGAAAGGTGGACAGTATATTTCCTTCCATGAGTCAACTGATAACAAAATTTCAGCTCCCAGACTTCTGCTAATAAACTAAATGAAAAGAAAGTCAAGAAAATAAAAACGGAGTTGAGTGAGCACAGATGAAAGTGGCTTCAACACTCTTCGGTAATGAGATTTTTAACACATGAGGGAGGAGTTCATTCCATGATTAGACCCTGTTAGCCAGTGCTTGCTCATATTGGATGAAAACCAGTGAATAATTAGGTGAACAACTTTTGTTCATCTGGTCCTCAGTCTGCCTTCTGAAACACAGGGTACATTTCATATCACAGGAAAAAACTATAATGTTCACCCTCAGTCTTTCTGGGTCAAATATCCAGTTTATTTAGTCATTCCAGACTATGAACCTGGCCAGCCCTTTCTGAAGTGCTACAGTTTGTGATTATTCCTCTATACTGAGACCAACAGAACCGAGCAACAATTTACAGGTGTAACAGGACACATGGAGGGTATAGTGAAACTAGTCGCTCTCATTTTTACACACCTGCCAACATAGCCTGGGCTTACATTAGTTTCATTGGCAACCATGTTTCATAATCGCTTGTATTTATTTTAATTTATGTAGATATTTCCTTTTCAAGGAGGTGGAACATAACTCCCCATTCCCTAAAGTGTGGGTAATGCTTAGCGCCTCGCTTCCAAAGAATACAACATAGAAAGAGAAGGGAAAGTAACTTTACAGCCAAGAAACCTGGCAGATACTACCTCAGCCAGGGTTAAACGCCATCTGTGTTATGTCATGTTGACAGCATGTACCCTTGATAGGAAGTGCTGAGAACAGTGCTTTACTCCTGTAGTTTTCCCCAAAAATCCTATGACCCCAGTCTAACCATGAGAAAAACATTACGCAAACCCAAATTGAGGGACGTTCTGCAATACAACTGACCAGCATCAGGAAGTGTCAAGGTCATCAAAAACATCTTCTTAGAGCCTAACTCATTGTAAGTGGTGTCCTGGATAGGATCCTGGAACAGAAAAAGGACATTAGGGGAAAACTAGTGAAATTCAAATAAAATATGAAGTTTAATTTAAAATGTATCAGTATTGGTTCATTAGTTATGACAAACATATGACTAACGTAAGATGTGAACAATAAGAAAAAATGGGTGAGGCATATACAAGAAGTCTTTGCACTAGCCTTGCAACTTTTCTGCAAACTTAAAACTATTCTAAAGTAAAAATTTTATTTAAAGAAAAAAAAATTCTATAGGAAAAGCAGAGGAACTTTAAGCATAGATGCTCAATTTTTATCCATTTTATCACCTCATGAAGAAATATTTTGGGAGCAATATTAGATGATTTGCTGTCTTTTTTCAGCTTTCAGTGCTCTGGAAAATAACTGGTTATGAGTTAAGCTATATGAGTTCAGCATAAACCCCAAACTGAGAAACTGACTGAGTCTTTACCATAATAGCACTGCAAGAATTGGTGGGTTTGGGGGTTTTATTTTTTTTGGATGATCTGTCTGATCTAGTCTGATGATTTTGAATAGGGCAAAAGAGAAATACATATTGTTCCCCACTCAACCCTATGTTGGCTACAGTTCCTCTTTCTTGGAAAAAAAAACATATTTTGACATCATAAAAGTGCTTTTGAATTATATTATTTCCTGCTGCATCTTTGTCCCACAGCAATGACAACTCTGGGAGTCAAGGATTGTGTGTGGATTGCTCAGCAGTGTACCTCCAACTCAATGAATTTTTTTGAATGAATAAATGATGAAAAAAGAATAAAATTTTCTATATACAAATGACATGATTTGTGCCCAAAACTGGGGGGATTTAACAGAACATTATATCTAAGTACCATCAAAAAGGTTTAAGATGGGGACTTCCCTGGTGGCGCAGTGGTTAAGAATCCACCTGCCTATGCAGGGGACGTGGGTTCGAGCCCGGTCTGCGAAGATCCCACATGCCACGGAGCAACTGATCCCGTGCGCCACAACTACTGAGCCTGCACTCTAGAGCCCTCGTGCCACCACTACTGAAGCCCGCGTGCCTAGAGCCTGAGCTCCGCAACAAGAGAAGCCACCACAATGAGAAGCCCTCACACTGCAACAAAGAGTAGCCCCTGCTCGCTGCAACTAGAGAAAGCACGCATGCGGCAACGAAGACCCAACACAGCCAAAAATAAATAAATAAATAAATTTATAAATAAATAAAATAAAAAATAAAATTAACTGCTTTTCTGCTTGCTATTCCTTTTTTTAAATGAGGACTATAAAAATGAGAACATAAAACAAAATTTTAGGCCTTAATGCATAGAAAAATAATATATAGCTTGGTGATGGGATACATATATCAGAAGCCACACAGTACACTACATCAAGATTAAATATTACTTTTTAGGATAATACTGGCATTAGTTTTGGCACAGTTTTGAAGTCAAAATTATGTAGAAGATACCTGATAAAACTGGTTACAATTTTACTGCACTGATTGTTGTATTAAAAAATATGTTGGGGCTTCCCTGGTGGCGCAGTGGTCGAGAGTCCGCCTGCCAATGCAGGGGACACGGGTTCGTGCCCCGGTCCGGGAGGATCCCACATGCCGCGGAGCGGCTGGGCCCGTGAGCCATGGCCGCTGGGCCTGCACGTCCGGAGCCTGTGCTCCGCAACGGGAGAGGCCACAGCAGCGAGAGGCCCGCGTACAGCCAAAAAAAAAAAAAAAAAAAAAAATATGTTGTATTTGCATTTTAAGTGGTTTTTTCTTTAAAAAAAAAAAAGGCTTTACAAAGATGCCTTCTAAATTAAAAATTATTGACAAAATACCCCAAAATATGGAAATGATAATTCAATAGCCATAAAACAATTACATATCAACAAAAATACAATCTTCATCAATATTAAAGAATTAGAAATAATTTTGATAAATGCTACAGGAAATATTCGAGCTCATAAATACTGACACAGGGTTAAATTTTCAAGTTGGTGTCATCTTGCTTGAGGTATTTTCTGTGTTCTCTTAAATGTAAAACTCATGTTTTGTAAAATCCAGTCCTATAAGGTTAGAGAAGAAAAATTGTTAACATTTGTTCTAATATGAACTCTTAAGATTCCCTCCCTTTAAACAACCCTATTGAAACAATTAATTTCAAAAGCCTAAATACATGTGGATGTTTAAAATTTTTTTCAACAAATGTAATATGAATAATTACATGGCTAAATGGCTTTCTTATGAACTACTCATGGGGAAAAAATAAGATGATAATCTAATGATCTACAAAAATATATCATTCCAAGATGATTTAGAATCTAGTATTTGCACATCAGACCTCCTCTGGTTTCTAAATAATATAAAATCAGTAAAAATGAAAATCAAAGCTGATCATATTAGGAAAAAATATGGCAAATTTGTTAGCTTATTAGATAAACTTTAAAAATCAGAAAGATTAAATATTGAATTTTTAAGAAAACTAAACTGCTATTCTCTTAAGTACACATTTAAATTACCTCCTGTTATCTTCTGTGGAAAATTATACTTGGGAGGCATCACCTGTCTTCTGCCCATTCCATGGGATCTTGAAAGCAAGCAGTCTACATACATGTCCCAGAAATCCTGAGCTATGCTTAAGAAGACATTATAATGTCTAGGCTGCTGGGATTTTTGCAGGAACAACATGAAATTCCAGAAAGAATCCACAGTGTGCTCTATCTTGATTTCCTTGAGATCTATCAGTGTCAAGGAGCAAGCATTCCAGCACTGGAGATCAATGTCTTCCATGATCCCTGGGCTGTTGCTGGCAAGCACCCCCTTTTGAAATTCAAAATCCGCGTTAATCAGATTCATCAGCATCATGCAGCCCAGAGGTAGGTAGAACCATCTTCTTGTGGCAAAATTCATATTCTATACAGAAAAAAAAAAATGAAGATATATTTTTAACTTAAAATTATTCAATTACTTGATGATCTGTTTAAACCTAAAAAGTTATAACTACTTATGTATTTGGTTTTTATCAAACCTAAAAAATTATAAATACTTATGTATTTGGTTTTGATCAAGTCAAATTTGCCTACTATGTATTTATTGGTTTTCCTCTAAGTTGCTGACTCTCAGACTTTCCTTCGAAAGGATATAACAACAGCTTTACCAACATTCTGATAAACAGTCTTCAGGAGCCACTGAAATCCAACACATGTTTATGAAGTTGTGATACATTCATTTCATCAAAGACCTTTGGAGCTGAAAGAAACTCTAAAACGGATGTGTTCCAACCTTCTACTTTTACAGATTAGAAAAATTCTCAGTGATATGATTCAGCAAGTTCTCAGGTCTCCTGTCTCTCTATCCAAGACTCCTACCACAATACATTTCAACCAAGAAGATCAAAATGCAGCCCTTTCTACAGGTAACCATAAAAAATGGTGTGTGTGGTTTTCTTTAAATTGACGCTTTCCAATCTATCAAGTGTTGGATGCTCAAGCACCATTTTAGGTTTCAAAGTTACTGATGAAATTTATTCATTGAAAAAATATTTGTTATGCACTGATATCTGGTGGATCCCTGACTTTTCTCAGGTTGTTCAGGAGCTGGTTAGAGAAGATTAACATACATACACAAAGGAGCACGAAGACAAGAAAAGTGATATAAGCCAATATGACATGGTGCAGCACCAATAACATTCAGCAAAATCTAGGTATTTTCTCACGATTCTTTGCACAAGTTTCCCTGAAAACTGATTGCTCAGTAAATCGGCCTGAAGCCTATAGGTGAAGTCAAGGTCTAAATTCGCTTTGAATGGCCCTACCATTCCAGGCTGGCATTGGAAATGTCCCTGACACAACCTTGACAGCCAGGTCGGAGGAGTGGAGCGGCGAGGACAGATCCGGAAGACAGTACTCACCTTCTTCCCCGTAAACCGCCGTCCTCCACTCCCCCCTAACCCCCCCCCCCCAAAAAAAAGAAGTTAGGCTAAAGAGACAAACTCAACGAAACAAATTTAAACTTAGGTTAGTCGGGTCGTTTCACGTTGTGGAAAATTGTGCAGGTTTCCCAAACAGAGCTGACTGTGGCCAGTTTATAATACAAAGGACTGAGTGGGACCAGAGAATTTTATTCCTCAAGAATTTCAGGTTACCCTCCGGATCAGTGCTCTCCTGCCGGGTCGGGTCACCTGGACGCAGACAGGGAGCCCGCGGGAAATGGTACCTCTCTTAGGCGGCGGAGGCGAGCGTCCGGGTGCGATGTCGTGCGTGCGCTGCGCTCCCTCGAGGGATGAGGACGGCTCTTGACTGGAAGGGACAAGAGGTCTCTGAGCGGACTCCCACCCCCTGCCCAGCCGAACCCACCCCTACAGGCTGGTGACAGGTGGAAGCGGTGCTCTGCGACCTGCCGCCAGCGCACCCCGGGAGCCCTGAACTCGACCTAGGGAACCGTCTCGGCCGCACCGTGCTCCGGAGCCAAGCGGCTCAGGCTCCCCGGGAGCGGCGCTGCGGAATCTGCTGCCGCCGCTGAGGAATCTGCTGCAGCCGCTGGGGGCTCGAAGTCAGCCCTGCAGCCCGAACCACGCTCCCCTTCTAGAGACTGAGTGAGGGGGCAGAGTGTGTGGCCGCTCTCAAGGCCCCGCCCTCACCTTGCCCACCTCCCCAGTCCCGAGACCCAGGAACAAGGACAGTGTGAAAAAGAGTAAAGTCACAAGAGTATCTCACTAATGATGATAGATGAAAGATCCTAAACAAAATATTATCAAACGAAATTCAGCAGGATTTAGGAAAATACACATCAGTATCAAGCTGGGATTATCTCAGGGATGCAAAGATCAACATATGAAAATCAATTAGTGGATTCACCACAAAAACAAACTGAAGAGAGAAACCACTTGATTAAATGCAACACCCATTCAAGATAAAAAACAATAAAAAACCTCTTAGTAAACTAAGAATAGAAGTGAATTTCCTTAACCTCTCAAATGTTATCCACCAAAACCCTACAGCAAGCATCTTTCTATGGTAAATCATTAAAAGTATTCTCTTTTAGAGTCAGGTACCAAAATGTTCATTGCAGCTCTATTTACAATAGCCAGGACATGGAAGCAACCTAAGTGTCCATCAACAGATGAAAGGATAAAGAAGATGTGACACATATATACAATGGAATATTACTCAGCCATAAAAAGAAACGAAACTGAGTTACTTGTAGTGAGGTGGATGGACCTAGAGTCTGTCATACAGAGTGAAGTAAGTCAGAAAGAGAAAAACAAATACTGTGTGCTAACACATATATATATGGAATCTAAAAAAAAAAAAAAAAGGTGCTGAAGAACCTAGGGGCAAGACGCAAGACGGGAATAAAGACACAGACCTACCAAAGAATGGACTTGAGGATATGGGGAGGAGGAAGGGTAAGCTGGGACAAAGTGAGAGAGTGGCATGGACATATATACACTACCAAACGTAAAATAGAGAGCTAGTGGGAAGCAGCCACATAGCACAGGGAGATCAGCTCTGTGCTTTGTGACCACCTGGAGTGGTGGGATAGGGAGGGTGGGAGGGAGGGAGATGCAAGAGGGAAGAGATATGGGGACATATGTATATGTATAACTGATTCACTTTGTTGTAAAACAGAAACTAACACACCATTGTAAAAGCAATTATACTCCAATAAAGATGTTAAAAATAAATAAATAAATAAAAGTATTCTCTTTTAAATTAATAACAAGACAAGGATTATCTTTGTTAACATTCAAAACAATACCCTCAAAGAAAGGTTAAAAAAAAAAAGGAGGGAAGATAAGGATTAGAAAGGAAGAAACAGAACTTTTCAGTCTAGTGGGGAGGCAGCAAAGCTATTGGTTTAGCGTGGAGCTTAGAGATCAACTGCCTGGATTTAAATCCCACCTTCTAGGTTCAAAGGAAAATTTGTGACTTTGGGCAGTTACTTAATCTCTTTGTGACTTAGTTTCCTTATCGGTAAAATGGGGATTAAAAAATAAACCTGGGGCTTCCCTGGTGCACAGTGGTTGAGAGTCCGCCTGCCGATGCAGGGGACACAGGTTCGTGCCCTAGTCTGGGAAGATCCCACATGCCGCGGAGCGGCTAGGTCCGTGAGCCATGGCCACTGAGCCTGCGCGTCCGGAGCCTGTGCTCCGCAATGGGAGAGGCCACAACAGTGAGAGGCCCGCGTACCGCAAAATAAATAAATAAATAATAAATAAACCTGTTTCATAGGGATGTTGAGATAATTAAATAAATATTTGTGAAGTGTATGGAATAGTGCCTACACATAGTAAGAATGCTATGTATGTGTTTGTTTTTTAAAATAATAAATTATATCCACAAACTATTTTACAAGAGTTTTGTAAGGTTTTGTAAGGTGTCTGAATATAAGCTCAATCTAAAATATCCACTGCATCTCTATACCTGAGAAACAAACAATATAAATTAGAAAAGAGATGTTATTTATAATAAGAAAAAAATATAAGATATCTAGAAATAAATGCAACGGGGACATTAAATCCTTTATGGAGAATTTTTTTCTTGAAAGGCATTAAAAAAATTTCAACAAAAAGAATGCTAATATGTGGTCTAAAGATATCTATCTTCCTAAAATAATACACAAATTTTCAACCAAAATCATACCAGGGTTAATGAAAAGTTATTCTAAAAGGTATATGGTAGAGAAAAGATCCAAAATAGCTAAGCTTTTCCTAAAGAACAACAATAAGGAAAGGGGACTCACTGGTGATTAAACAGGATGTCATTTGCTCAGGAAAAGAGAAATTAACCGAGTAGATTAGAGAGCCTAAAAACAGACGTATACATTTATAGACTTATATGTGACAGAACCAGCATTGCAGATCTGTAAGGCAACAGTGTCTTTTTCACTAACTGAGGCTAAGACGATTGGTTATCCATACAGAGAAAAAAAAAAAAAAGTGGATTCCTGGGAATCCCCTGGAGGTCCAGTGGTTAGGACTCTGCTTTCACTGCCAAGGGCTCAGATTCGACCCCTGGTTGGGGAACGATGATCCTGCAAGTCCTGCAGTGTGGCCAAAAAAAAGTAGATTCCTACCTCATACAATCGCAAAAATCAATCCCAAGTAGATTAAGAATTTCAATGTGAAAAGCAAAGCATTACAACTTTAAGAAGAAATTCAGAATATCTTTCTGATCTTGAGGTTGGCAAGCATTACATAAAATACAGGTAGTGCTAAGCATAAAAGAAAAATTAATACATTTGACTACATTAAAATTAAATCTGTTAATCACCAGACACCATAAATAAAGATAAAAGATAAGTATAATCTGGGAGAAGACATTTACAGCACATATAACCACAAATGGATTAGAATTAGGATCTAAGATATAAGAATCTTCCAAGGAATCAACAAGAAAAAGACAAATACCACAACAGAAAACTAGGCAAAAGGCTTAGAGGGCCATTTCATAAATAAGGAAACATAAATAATGACTGATTGAATAAGTATATTCATAACCTCATTGCAAGCAAGGAAGTTCAAATAGTGAAAGACCATAATAAGATATGAATTCACACCCATCAGGTCGTCAAAAATTAAGAAGTCTAGCAAAATCAAGTGTTGGTGAGCACATGAAGGGTATTAGGGTTATCTAGAGAAACATGGGCTAAATAAACAGAGAGATGACAGAGAGAGAGAGACAGAGACAGAGAGACAGAGAGAGAGAGACTGATTTAGTATAAGGAATTAGCTCACATGATTATGGAGGCTGGGAAGTCCCATGATCAGCTGTCTGCAAGCTCGTGACCCAGGAAATCTGGTGGTGTAGTTCCAGTCTAAGTCCAAAGGCCTGAGAACCAGGAGAGCCAATGATGTAAATCATAGTCCAAGTTAAAGAGAAGACCAACGTCCCAGATCAACTGTCAGGCAGAGAGAGCAAGGGAGGGCCATCTTCGTTCAGTCTGCTAATTCAAATGCTAATCTCATCCAAAAGTACCATCACAGACTTACCCAGAAATACTATTTAACCAAATATCTGGGCACTCCATGGCCCAGTCAAGGTGACATATATACTTAACCATCACATGAAACAACAGGGACTCTTCTTACACAGTGCTAGGAGGAGTGTAAATTAGTTCAATTAGTCTAGAGCACAAATTGGCACTATCTTGTGAGTCTGAACAAGCACACAATCTGCAATAAATCTTTTTACTCCCAGGAAAGATCTTGAAGAAACTCTTGTACATGGGCACCAAGAGACATACACTATAATGGAATGTTCATAGTAGCACTCTTCATAAAAGCCAGAAACATGGAAACAATCATAATGACCTAATGGTTAACAGGAGAATAGATAAATTAACCATGGTACATTCACAAAATGGGATGTAATTCGGCAGTGAAAATGAATAGACTGCAGCTATATGCATTATAGACGAAAAAAGCAAATTGCAGAAGATACCATTTTTATAAATTTCAAAGACAAGCAAAATGAAACCACATGTTCTCTATAAATACATATATATGATAATGTAATTTTAATGGTAAGGAAGTGATTAACACAAAATTCAGGAGAGTGGTTACGTTTGAGGGAATGAGATGTAGAAGAACGCACAGAGAGGTTCTATGGATGGTAAATTTACTAGTCTTTATGATTACAGTTGCCAACAAATATGTGTTAGGTATATTCTTTTCTACTGTCAAATAATGCATGTCAAAACTTCTAGGATAGTGACAAGACATATTTCAAATACATAAAGACAAAGCTTGGTGACTGGTCATATTGATATGAGATGGAAAGAAAAGAGAACTAACATTTTTGGCATGCATCCTTATGGGAGTGACAGTGACAATGTGAAAAATGGAAAGGAAGACTAGTGGGGAGGATAAATTTGATTCAGGATGTGTTGCATTAGATTTGATTCTGGATCTTCTGAAGTATCTAAAATTTAGCTAGAAATTTAAGTTGAAAGGTCTCTGTTTTAACAGAAAATTACTTTTGCTATGAGAGTATACATTGATAAAAGAAAGTTGAGATGAAGATGGAAGACTATGTCCAAATTTAGGGGTCCATGAACTGCAGATAGAATCAGTGAAGGAAGAAGAGATAGAACAATCAGCCTATACAAGCTCCAGGGTGGTATGATGTCACAGAACTAAAGGGAGGATGCTATGGTCTGAATGTTTGTGTCCTCCAAAAAATTTATATGTTGAAATTCTAATCCCCAAAGGTGATGGTATTAGGAGGTAGAGCCTGTGGGAAGTGTTTAAGTCATGCAGGTGGAACCCTCCTGAATGCGATCAGTGCTTGATAAAAGAGGTTCCAGAGGGATCCCCAGACCCTTTTACCAGGTGAGGACACAGCAAGAAGTAGGTAGTCTGCAATCCAGAAAAGGGTCTTCACTAAAACCCAGCCATGCAGGCACCCTGATCTTGGACTTCTAGACTTTAGAACAGTGAAAAATAAATTTCTCTTGTTTATAAGCTACCCAGTCTCTGGTATTTTGTTATGTTATCCTGAATAGACTAAGACAGAAGATACAGCTGAAGAATCAGAAGACTGCTATAGGTCAAACACTTGGAGAATTTGTCTTGAAATAATATTTTTCATTTGGCAAAAAGGAGGTGTAGTGGTGAAACTCAAAAGTACATAGTACCTTTAAAAATAGCCATGATAAATTCATGTGGAAGCTTAGATTTAACAGGTGGTTAAGGTCAAGTTAACTAATCCATCTAATTATCATTATATCTAAAACAATCCCTAAGTAATAAGCAACTATGTTTTCCACGCTATGTACCATTCTTATTAAAATCATCTTCGAAGATGGTGGAGTAGAAGGACATGCTCTCATTCCCTCTTGCGAGAACACCAGAATCACAACTAACTGTTGAACAATCATTGACAGGAAGACACTGGAATTCACCAGAAAAGACACCCCACATCCAAAGACAAAAGAGAAGCCACAATGAGACAGTACGAGGGGTGCAATCACAATAAAATCAAATCCCATAATTTCTGTGTGGGTGACTCACAAACTGGAGAACACTTATACCACAGAAATCCACCCACTGGAGTGAAGGTTCTGAGCCCCACATCAAGCTTTGAAACCTGGGGGTCCAGAAATGGGAGGAGGAATTCCGAGAGAAACAGACTTTGAAGGTTACTGGGATTTGATTGCAGGACTTTGACAGGACTGGGGGAAACAGAGACTCCACTCTTTGGAGGGCACACACAAAGTAGTGTGTGCATCGGGACCCAGGGGAAGGAGCAGTGACCCCAGGGGACACTGAACCAGACTGACCTGCTAGTGTTGGAGGGTCTCCTACAAAGGTGGGGGGTGGCTCTGTCTCACCGTGAGGACAAGGACACTGGCAGCAGAAGTTCTGGGAAGTACTCCTTGGCCTGACCTCTCCCAGAGTCTGCCATTAGTCCCACAAAGAGCCTGCGTAGCCTCCAGTGTTGGATCGCCTTAGGACAAACAACCAACAGGGAGGGAACCCAGCCCACCCATCAGCAGTCAAGCGGATTAAAGTTTTACTGAGCTCTGCCCACCAGAGCAACAATCAGCTCTACCCGCCACCAGTCCCTTCCATCAGGAGACTTGCACAAGTCTCTTAGATAGACTCATCCACCAGAGGGCAGACAGCAGAAGCAAGAACTACAATCCTGCAGCCTGTGGAACAAAAACCACATTCACAGATAGATAGACAAGATGAAAAGGCAGAGGGCTATGTACCAGATGAAGGTACAAGATAAAACCCCAGAAAAACAACTAAATGAAGTGGAGATAGGCAACCATCCAGAAAAAGAATTCAGAATAATAATAGTGAAGATGATCCAGGACCTTGGGAAAAGAATGCAGACAAAGATCGAGAAGATACAAGAAATGTACAAAAAAGACCTAGAAGAATTAAAGAACAAACAAACAGAGATGAACAATACAATAACTGAAATGAAAACTATACTAGAAGGAATCAATAGCAAAATAACTGAGGTAGAAGAACAGATAAGTGACCTGGAAGACAGAATGGTGGAATTCACTGCTGCAGAACAGAATAAAGAAAAAAGAATGAAAAGAAATGAAGACAGCCTAAGAGACCTCTGGGACAACATGAAACACAACAACATTCGCATTATAGGGGTCCCAGAAGGAGAAGAGAGAGAGAAAGGACCCGAGAAAATATTTGAAGAGATTATAGTTGAAAACTTCCCTAACATGGGAAAGGAAACAGACACCCAAGTCCAGGGAGTACAGACAGTCCCATACAGGATAAACCAAAGGAGAAACATGCGGAGACACATAGTAATCAAATTGGCAAAAATTAAAGACACAGAAAAATTATTGAAAGCAACAAGGGAAAAACGACAAATAACATACAAGGGAACTCCCATAAGGTTAACAGCTGATTTCTCAGCAGAAACTGTACAAGCCACAAGGGAGTGGCAATGATATACTTAAAGTGATGAAAGGAAAGAACCTACAATCAAGATTACTCTACGGAGCAAGGATCTCATTCAGATTCAATGGAGAAGTCAAAAGCCTTACAGACAAGCAAAAGATAAGAGAATTCAGCACCACCAAACCAGCTCTACAACAAATGCTAAAGGAACTTTTCTAAGAGAGAAACACAAGAGAAGAAAAGGATCTACAAAAACAAACCCAAAACAATTAAGAAAATGGTAATAGGAACATACATCTCAATAGTTACCTAAAACGTGAATGGATTAAATGTTTCAACCAAAATGGAAAGGCTTGCTGAATGGATACAAAAACAAGACCCATATATATGCTGTCTACAAGAGACCCACTTCAGACCTAGGGACACATACAGACTGAAAGTGAGAGGATGGAAAAAGATATTCCATGTAAATGGAAATCAAAAGAAAGTTGGAGTAGCGATACTCATATAAGATAAAATAGACTTTAAAATAAAGAATGTTACAAGACACAAGGAAGAATACTACATAATGATCAAGGGATCAATCCAAGAAGAAGATAAAACAATTATAAATATATATTCACCCAACATAGGAGCACCTCAATACATAAGGCAATGGCTAACAGCTATAAAAGAGGAAATCGACAGTAACACAATAATAGTAGGGGACGTTAACACCTAACATACACCAATCGACAGATCATCCACACAGAAAATTCATAAGGAAACAGAAGCTTTAAATGACACAAGAGACCAGATAGATTTAATTGATATTTATAGGACATCCTGTCCTAAAATAGCAGATTACACTTTCTTCTCAAGTGTGCATGGAACATTCTAGAGGATAAACCACATCTTGGGTCACCAATCAAGCCTCAGTAAATTTAAGAACATTGAAATCATATCAAGCGTCTTTTCTGACCACAATGCTATGAGATTAGAAATCCAGGATTAGATTAGAAGTCCAGGACCAGATGGCTTCACAGGTGAATTCTATCAAACATTTAGAGAATAGCTAACACCCATCCTTCTCAAACTCTTACAAAAAATTGCAGAGGAAGGAACACTCCCAAACTCATTCTATGAGGCCACCATCACCTGATACCAAAACCAGACAAAGATACTACAAAAAAAGAAAATTACAGACCAATATCACTGATGAATATAGATGCAAAACTCCTCAACAAAATACTAGCAAACAGAATTGAACAACGCCTTAAAAGGATCATACACCATGATCAAGTGGGATTTATCCCAGGGATGCAAGGATTCTTCAATATACACAAATCAATCAATGTGATACACCATATTAACAAACTGAAGAATAGAAACCATATGATCATCTCAATAGATGCAGAAAAAGCTTTTGACAATATTCAACGCCCATTTATGATAAAAACTCTCCAGAAAGTGGGCATAGAGGGAACCTACCTCAAAATAATAAAGGTCATATACGACAAACCCATAGCAAACATCATTCTCAGTGGTGAAAAACTGAAAGCTTTTCCTCTAAGATCAGGAACAAGACAAGGATGTCCACTCTCACCACTATGATTCAACATAGTTTTGGAAGTCCTAACCACAGCAATCAGAGAAGAAAAAAAAAGAAAAGAATCCAAATTGGAAAAGAAGAAGTAAAACTGTCACTGTTTGCCAATGACATGATACTATACATAGAGAATACTAAAGATGCCACCAGAAAACTACTAGAGCTAATCAATGTATTTGGTAAGTTGCAGGATACAAAATTAATTCACAGAAATCTCTTGCATTCCTATATACTAATGATGAAAAATCTGAAAGAGAAATTAAGGAAACATTCCCACTTACCATTGCAACAAAAAGAATAAAATACCTAGAAATAAACCTACCTAGGGAGACAAAAGACCTGTATACAGAAAACTATAAGACACTGATGAAAGAAATTAAAGAGGATACCAACAGATGGAGAGATATACCATGTTCTTGGATTGGAAGAATCAATATTGTGAAAATGACTATACTCCCCGAAGCAATCTACAGATTCAATGCAATCCCTATCAAATTACCAATGGCATTTTTTACAGAACCAGAACAAAAAAATCTTAAAATTTATATGGAGACACAAAAGACCCCGAATAGCCAAAGCAGTCTTGAGGGAAAAAAACGGAGCTGGAGGAATCAGACTCCCTGACTTCAGACTGTACTACAAAGCTACAGTAATCAAGACAATATGGTACTGGCACAAAAACAGACACATAGATCAATGGAAAAAGACAGAAAGCTCAGAGATAAACCCACGCACCTATGGTCAACTAATCTATGACAAAGGAGGCAAGGATATACAATGCAGAAAAGACAGTCTCTTCAATAAGTGGTGCTGGGAAAACTGGACAGCTACATGTAAAAGAATGAAATTAGAACACTCCCTAACACCATACACAAAAATAAACTCAAAATGGATTCGAGACCTAAATGTAAGACCGGACACTATAAAACCCTTAGGGGAAAACATAGGAAGAACACTCTTTGACATAAATCACAGCAAGATCTTTTTTGATCCACCTCCTAGAGTAATGGAAATAAAAACAAAAATAAACAAATGCGACCTAATGAAACTTCAAAGCTTTTGCACAGCAAAGGAAACCATAAACAAGACGAAAAGACACTTCTCAGAATGGGAGAAAATATTTGTAAATGAATCAATGAAGAAAGGATTAATCTCCAAAATATATAAACAGCTCATGCAGCTCAATAGTAAAAAAACAAACAACCCAATCCAAAAATGGGAAGAAGACCTAAATAGACATTTCTCCAAAGAAGACATACAGATGGCCAAGAGGCACATGAAAAGCTGCTCAACATCACTAATTATTAGAGAAATGCAAATCAAAACTACAATGAGGTATCACCTCACACCAGTTAGAATGGGCATCATCAGAAAATCTATA